GTGTTTAAGTTTAAAAAAGTAAGAATTTTTAAAAATAGCATTAAATAAAATAGGTTCTTTTTGGTTAAAAAAAAAAAAGAGAGAGGTCAAAAAAAGTATAATGAGTTTAAAAAAATTTTTTGATTATCAGTAATACTAATTGCATTTTAAAAAGTTGATTATTAAATATATAAATTTTAATACAGATTGCTAAAAATGCGTATTATTTCTATATACAATATTTTTGGTTTGAATATTATTTTTTTTTATTTTTTTTTATTTTATGTAAAATTTATACATTATTTCAAATTCCTTAATAATTCCGTATACATCAATTTTTTAAAAAATTATAAAAAAATAAATCATTATAAAATATATGTAATTTACTACAGAATCAGTAAATACGTATACAAACCTTATAATAAACGTATCATTTCTTTATTTAAATTTCTTATAGGAAAAACACTTTCTATTGATAATATTACTGATCAATCACCAATATTAATAACTACTTATATATCTTACTTAGCATATATGGATAATACTTTATAACTGAGTAAATCAAAAGAAAATCTTAATGAAATAATATTACTTGCAGATGCTTTTATATCGTAAATAGTATTAAAATAAATTGGAATAAGTCCCTTTTACTTACATCCTTTAATATTAATTTTAGATTATCTAATAATAAAATATGGTTTAAACTTACTGATTTCAAAGTTTATGTCTAATATTTAGGAATTTGAATATTTATTTAATAAAATAAAAAATTCATTTAACAAATAAAGAACAAAATTACAATTTTTATAACTACAATAAAAAGAAAACATTTGATAAATAAACGACTATGTTTAATATCTAATGTTATTTCAAGAATCTTCTATAAAATACAGGTCACATATTTAATCTCAATATAAATCATAATATAAAATTATAATAATAAATAAATAAAAAATAAGTTTTATTATTTTCAATTTTATAAATAATTGTTTAATTGATTTTTGGCTATTTTTAAGCTGATTGTTAATTGATTTTAAGCTAATTTAAGCCATTTAGATTAATTTTAATATTAATATTGATTGATAATTGATTTTCTATTTATTTAAATAATTACCAAAATGCTAATTTTTTTGGCAATAATCAGCAAAAATTAAACTATAATCCTATTTATTTTAATTTAGACTATATAACTAAAAATATAACCAATTATATTAAAATTATAATTAGTATAAATTTTTTAATTTTTGATTAATCAGATTGAAAAAATTAAGATTATGTTATAATTCCAGTTGTATGTATGCATTATGTTATATAAACAGATAAATAAAAAAAATACTAATAGATTAAATTATATTTTTATTATATATTGAAAACTTTTTTGACTAATATAATTTAAATTATAACACTACGAATAATAAGTAAGATTTTGATATATAGTTAAAATTTTTCTCTTTAGACTCATAATAGTTTTTGTTTTCTGGTTTATTCATAAAAACATATGTATTAAAAAATCAATCAAAGTGAACAATAAAATTTTTGTTCATATTGATCAATATCCTGATTATATCAGCAACTAATCTTAATTTTCAATCAATTTAATCTAATTTAGAAATAAATAAGGCTTATATTATTGCCAATTTTCAGCACTTTAAAATGTGCTGAATTGAATTATTTTGATTAATGATATAAAATAACTACTAATTATTAAATAATGATTTTTTATTAAGTGACAATTATATTGGACACCTTTGGTTATAACTAAAATGCTGATTTTTGGCAATGATCAGCAGAAATTAGACTATATTTTAGCCAATATTAATACTTTAGAAATGACTAGTATAAATTATTAATTATATTAATCTAATGATTATAATATAATATAAATTTATTTTAATAGATTCTTTTATTTTAATTAATTAAAGAATTTTTAAAATATTTTTAAAAAAAAAGCCAAAAATTTTTTATTTTTTAAAGTAAAAAATTAGATTTCTTTTTGGTAAATTATATGGAACTTTTGCAATAGAAAGAGAAAAAAACTTCTGAAAAAAATAAAAAATGAGTTAATGCTAAATTTGAACATTTTTAGCCTAAAAATCATATTTGCCATATAAAGTAAAATTGATTTTTCCCGGCAGTTTCCATCCTTTCTATTCTTTTTATTGCAAAGGCCTAAGGATGTTAAATTGCTTCAATAAAGTATGCTTAAGCTGAGTTTGATTTCATAACAAGTTTAATATGTGTTCTAAATATGTTTCACACCTTTTAGTATATGCCTCAATTATGCTTCAAAGAGTATATATGGGAAGGTTACTAGAAAAATCAGATTCTAAGAATTTTTTAATAAAATTTTGATTTTTATTGCATTTAAAATGAAGCTAAATTTTATTTAAAAAATTCTCAGAACCTGATTTTCCAAGTAACTTACCCATATGGTCTAATTCAAACGCGTTTTTAAAACACATTTGATCAAAAATAGCTTCTTTTATCAGAATTTTTTCGAGTATCAAGATTAACTAATTGAGTTAATCTAGTCTAACCATTTAACAGAACTCAATTTCTCAGAAGCCCGTTTTTCTAAAGTAGCTTAGATTGTTTCAAACAAAAGAAATCAAATGTAGGGTTCGATCTTAAGACCGGTCAAACGATCGCCTTCGGAGAGATCGGATGGATCGGACATTAATTGAAATTAATATAAAAGGCAGCTAAATTTTTAGGATCGAATTTTTCTTTAAAAGTTCATATGATAAATGTCTTCTTCAACTTCAACAAGTGTTCCGACTGCGACCAAACCCCAACCCCAATCCCAATCCCAACAAAAACAACCTACTGTGTTATTATGCATTGGCATGGCAGGTTCAGGCAAAACCACTTTTATGCAGGTATATACTTTTTCTAAAGAGACAAACAATTCTTTATGTATTGAATTCAAAAACTTACGTTTATTCTTTTTGTAGCGAATAAATGCTTACCTTCATAGTATAAAAAAACCTCCATACGTTATAAACCTTGATCCAGCAGTCACTCATCTTCCTTTCACAGCAAATATTGATATCCGGGATACTATTAATTATAAAGAAGTAATGAAGCAGTAAACTATCATATTTCGATCTATTAATGTTGATTGATTTCTATAAATAAACTTTCTAATTAATATTTTATATTCCAGATATAATTTAGGTCCAAATGGTGGTATTCTTACTAGTTTAAATTTATTTACGACGAAATTTGATCAAGTGCTTGATTTTGTCTCGAAACGTGCACCAACCTTAGAGTATGAATCAATTTTTTTTTTACTACATAATTTATTTAACCATGCTTTCTTAACACATGGTCTTTAAATATATAGTTATATTATCTTGGATACGCCTGGCCAAATAGAAATATTTACATGGTCAGCATCTGGAGCAATCATTACAGACGCGTTAGCAGCGACATATCCTTGTGCAGTCGCTTATATTATAGATACACCAAGAACAACAAGTCCGTCAACATTTATGAGTAATATGTTGTATGCTTGCAGGTGAAGTAAATTTTCTTAGAAATTGTTTATAATATTTTATTGTTTTTTTTTTTTTTGTTAAAAGTTATTCCGATATTGATAGGAAGAATATAAAATTGATATTGGTTTAGTATCTTATATAAGACCAAATTACCATTTATATTGGTTTTTAATAAGACTGATGTTGTTTCTCACGAATTTGCTGTTGAATGGATGACGGATTTTGAATCTTTTCAACAAGCTTTGCAAAACGATACGAGTTATATGGGCAGTCTTATGAATTCTATGTGTCTAGTATTGGAAGAATTTTATCAACATTTAAAGGTATTTCTTATAATGATAATAAGTTCACGTAAAGTACTTTTAAAAAAATTTTTTTTTTTAAAAAGAATAAGTTATTATTTACTACGCGAAAAAGGTGGTTGGAGTTTCGGCCATTACTGGCGCTGGAATGGATGAATTTTTTGAAGCTGTTGATGAAGCTTCCAAGGAATACGAGACGTAAGTTATAAGTTTCATTCTTGATTTTAAGAATTAAAAGTTTTAATGTTATTGACAAATTTCTTTACAGAGTATATAAACCCGAATTAGAAAAATTGATTCGAGAAAAAGTATCTATTTATACATTTATTAGATCTTAATAAATTCGTATTAATTAATATAGTTGGAAATAATCTTTTTTTTATTTATTTCTTTGTTAGGCCGAAAGACAAGAAGCCGCAAAACAGGCACAAATTACAAAATTAATGAAAGATATGGACATGTCTGATGCTCCTAAAACAGGTAATGAAGAATTATTTTTATTTTTTATTTATCATTATTGTTTCACTTTTACAAAACTTAATTTGTTGAAGATCAAATGATGGAAGAGGAAGAAGAAACGGAGGAAGTTGATGGGGATGATGGTGATCATGATTATGACGAAGGTAATAAAATTTAACTCATATATAGATATAACTAGGGAACGGGGACCGTTGCTAAGTCCGGAGCATGTGTAACGAAAGTAACCAATAAAGTATCGACTCAATTTTTGAGCGGGCGGACATCGGGACATTTTTGTGTTACGCGTTCTAGACAATATAAGTCCTTCGTTACACTCCGGACTAATGAAATTTTTTTCCTGATACATTTTATTTAAAAATTAGATGCCGACTATGAAGCTATGAGAAAACATCAAGAACAACTTGATGATCAAAGCTTTGGTCGATGGTTAAAACAAGCTCGTGAAGGTGGTGATGGGAATATTGAATAACGTGTCATCATACGGTTTTAACTTCAATTGTAGTTTTAGTTAATGAATATATATTTTTATATCCACCTACATAGTGCAAGCTGATGTTATATGTGTTCAAATGCGTCAAATTTGTCAAATTATTTAATGATTTGTTCACGTAAAGCCAATGACCGTCATATGAATTGATGCTAATAAAATCTTCACATGATTTAAAAGATCTACAATATCTAAATTACTGATGCACCCAAGTCATGAAATTTTTTTTTTGCTTCCTTTGTTGAATATGACGCGACAAAATTTTATTGGAATGGTTATAAGCACAGCAATGCAAAAAACTGTTAAAGTTAGAGTAGAAAGGCAATTTATGCATCCCAAAATACAAAAAGTTGGTATCTTTTCGAATCAATTTCATTCTTTAAACATTTGATAATGTTAATTTTTTTGTTAATAGCATATAACGAGACACAAGAATTTCTTGGCACATGATGAAAAGGAAGGATGTTCATTAGGAGATATAGTAAGAATAGAAGCTTGTAGACCATTAAGTAAAATGAAAAGTTTTATAGTTGCAGAAATAATAAGGTTAATTATTACAATAATTGATTAATGTGATAAAGTCAATTTACTAATTTGTCTATTTATATAGTCCTGCAAAAACCTGGGTTGACCCTGTAACTGAAGAAGTTAAACGATAACTTTATCATCTCCTTTTTAAAATAATTTTTTTTTGTTTTTAATGAATAATATCAAGCATATAATTAATTCAATGTGAAAAATATTCCGTCTATTCAATAGTTAAATTATTTCCCAATTTTTAACAAGAATAATAATATCCAATATTTCCATCCTTTTTTTCTTCATTAGGCGGTTTAATCATTTCTACTGAAACGTTGTAATTGCCATTGAATATTTTCCAGTTGAGAACAATTTTTAAATAGTTGATTTGATTCCTCTTTTAATAAAGGTTCAGGTACGGAAGAAAATCTAATTGAAAATTTGGAAATGTTTTTCGATCTCGGGATTATTTCCAATACCTCCTGATAATAATAAATAAATAAATATATATAAGTATATAAAGAATTTGTCAAAAACAGACATGATCAAATTTAAAGAAAAACTTACATATTTTGAGAGTCCTTGAACACCAGATAATTCTAACCTAGTTAATTGATCTAACCCTTTACAAATGATTTCAAGATTAAGCTTATTTAATGGAACGTCTACCAACGCTAATTCCTTTAATACATGACGTGGTTTCATTTCATCATCATCATCCTTCTTGAAATAATCGATAATTCTACCCAATTCCGCATTATACAAATTAACATTTATTGAACTTTCATTTGCTTTAATTTTGGATTCCAAGTACCTTTCTACATATTGTATGGATAATACTTTAAAATTTCTGAAATGTTTAAAAGTTTCAATAGCGAATTCGGTCGTAATATCCGATACATTTTCTACGATAACGTTGGTTAACTTTGGACATGATTTAAAAATACTTAATAGGAAGGATTCTGATATGCTGATGCATCGATGAATATTTAAAAATGTTAAATTAGGACAATTTGATAAGCATGGTAACAAGATTTCATCCTCATAATATTTCTCCACGAGTTCTAACTTCGTTAACCTTTTACAATACTTTGTGATATCAAGTAAAACGTTCGGATCACAAGCTATATCTTTCTTTAAATTTAATTCTTCCAACATTAAACAATACATTGCTATCGCTCCTAACGCTTTCCCATCATTTATTTCAATGTCATTAAATTTAAATAATCTCAATTCCGGTAATCTCTTTGATATATCATACAATTGAACTTTATTTAACTTGATGTTTCCAAGTGAAAATTGTTCAATCCTAGGGCAACAATCTAAAGTTTCTAATAATTTGTAGTGATCGATTTTTAACTTTTCTAAATCCAATACTTTAACGTATCTACCATATTGATGAATACTTCTCTTATCCGCATTCGTTATTGGATCATTATAATATAAATTCGATCGTTGTAAAATTTTCAAGAATTTCGAGAATGCTCCCGTCTTTTGATCATTTTTCAATCCTTGAAATTTATACCATAACCTTTCGGTTGCTAATTTGTTCCACCATCGATTTACCAAACAAAATGGAAGGATATCTTTTCTTAATGTTACATGTGAAAATATGTTTTCTAATATTAATGAAATTGAAAATGCTTGATGAGAAATTAATATTGAATTTGTTTCTTTAATTAAATTCATAATAATCGAGTGTTAAATAGAAAAAGAAAAATTTAGGGGAAAAGGTTTTGAAAGTGATAACAACAAATGTATTGTTAATTTATATATTTTATTTTTTCGGAGTATTTTTAAACTTGAAAAATTATCGAGATTATTAATTTTCTACCAATATACCAATAATGGTAAGATCTAATGAGTACGGAAAATTCCGCAGAACAATTCGATTCATTATTATTGCCGACAGGATACTAATTAGGCCGAAGCCGAGAATTCACGTGATTAATTTATTTTAACAATCATCATATTATTTTTTTCCCAAATTTTAATTTATTTTTTTTTTAAAAAAATAAAATATAATATCGATACATGTTTCTTAAAAGAAAAAAAGCTTGAAATGAGAATAATTAATAAGAAAATATTGATTCATCTACTTGAGTTTCTTCTTTGGACGTAATTGATTAGTATGACCACACTAAATAAAATAATAAAAATGGATTTGAATTAATTTTCCAAGATACCGTGTAAATATCTTGTTTAAAATAGTAATACCTTTTTCTTACGACAGTTGGTAGCACGTGGAGGTAATCTCGCATAACATTTACGACAAATCATTTTTTCGCAATTATACTTTGAAGCCAAAGCTTTCAACGATGGTTCAATAATCCCACCACGCAAACGTAATACTAGATGAAGTGTTGATTCCTTTTGAATATTGTAATCTGCTAATGTACGATTATCCTCGAGCTATTTTCATTAAAAAATAAAATAAAATAAAATAAATAAAGGACAAAAAGGAAAATGAAGATTATTTGGATTATAAAAGAAACAAGGATTAATATAAACAGATTCTTTATTTAATAACCTGTTTACCGGCAAAAATCAAACGTTGCTGATCTGGAGGGATACCTTCTTTATCCTGAATCTTTTGCTTAACATTAGCAATATTATCCGTACTATACAATCAAACAAATCAAAATTATTAATTCATTAATTATAAGGATAGATTTTTTAAAAAATTATATTTATTCTTTTAATACCTTTCAACCTCAAGAGTGATGGTTTTTCCAGTAAGAGTTTTAACAAAGATCTGCATTTTCGGCTAGTAAAGAGATGATTTATCAGTGAGAAAATGTTTTGATCGTCATCTTTCATAACACGCTTGTTTGTTTTAGCTTTTTTAAAACCAATTCGTATCTTTTCTAACGTTGAAGCAATTTTCATCTAACATAATAATTAGGAACTTTCTTATACCTTTGCTAGTTTTGTTCAAAACGAAAACGAAATAAAATTGAATGATCGGAAAAAAAAATTTTTTTTTAAATTTTTTTTTTTTAGCTTTCATACTTGGATTTTCGTGTAACAGCTATACTAAACACGTGCAATCATGTGATTGTGATGAATTACTTTTATTATTAATTAACATTTCGCGTCTATAATAATCTTTTAATGTTCAACTCTATTCATTTATAAATTCATTATATCGAACAATTAAATTCATAGTTATTTTTCGTTTCAACATATATACATACATATATATTAATTGGGAAGTACCACTTTTTTTTATATATATAATGGAAGGAAAAAAATAATAGATATTTTTGATATTACAGTTATAGAAACTATGCATGAGCATGATGATGATGATGATGATGATGATTATGGTGATGATGGTAGTGGTGATGATGATGATTAAAATTCGGAATAAGGGGTCTTCTTTTCCCAAATTTTTTTGATAACCAACTTAAACCATTACCATCTCTCATTCTCTCCAACTCATTAATAGCACTATCAACGCCTATAACATTTGATCTTTGTTGAATCTCTTTTATGAGCTTTTTGCGTAAAAGCAAAGTCTCCTTATTCTCGTTTGCCCATTTTGTTCCATAAGTTTCTAGTAAAGCAATTATCGATGGATTTTCACCCAAACCCACATTCCATTCATTCCATACATCATAAACAGTACCTAAAGTGTCTAATTCAGGTAAGCGATAATAACTTGGTCTAGAAATAGCGCTCGAGGGTAAAGTCGGAGAATTGCTCATTGGAGAATGACTCGATCGATTCATTAAGCAACTTGTATCCGATCCAACAGTGTTTGAATCAACAAATGAAGAATCCAGCACCGGACTTGAACTTGTGCCAATTGAATTAATGGTTGCGGTGCTTGGAGTTCTCACCATATTAATAGCATTATTGTTATTGCTAATATTACTACTTTCTAGGAGATCACTAAATCCTAAATTAGATGTACCACTACTAATTCGTGAATCTATTAAAGGCTCATCATAATGTGGCAAATGATCTTGTTGAATGATAGGTTCAATGGGAACTGACATTTCTGTATTAACCGTATTAACCGTATTAACTGAATTATCCGTATTATCAGTAATAACTGTGTCAACTGTATTAATGATATCAATATCAACTGTATTAACCGTATTAACCGTATTAACCGTGTCAGTTGTCTCAGTTGTATCGGCTGTATCAGCTGTATCTGTTGTGTCTGTTGTATTAGCCATATCGGCCGTATCGGTTGTATTAGACGTATCAGCCGTATTAGCCATATCAGCAGTATTAGGAGTATTAGTTGTATTAGCTGTATGAACTACGATCTCAGTATCATCGTCATTATTATTAATAACGCCATCAGCATCAATTGGTGGATATCTATCTACATGAGGAGATAATTCTCTTGTTTCCACCATTAATGACGCAGGATCAGAAGATATTGTATTACTGGAGACTGGAGAAATGTCAGTTGTAACAGTCGTTGTCGTGGATGAATGATTACTTGCATCCGTATGTGTGATTGTCGTCATTTTTATTGTAATAATTGTACTTGTGGTGGTCGTAGATGATCCTGGTTCGCAATTTCCTGATAATACATTATTAGGTGTGGGTCGATCTTGTTGCATGGATGGAAAAAGTTCTTCTGGGAGCGAAAATTGTTGTTCTTGTAAGCTACTATTTCTGGTAGGAATAGAATCTAAATCTATAATTCCCCTTCGAGTTGGAGGTCTGCCTCGACGAGGCCTAGTTGCTGGAAGCTTGTGATGCCGCAATCCATTATATGTTTTATTACGAGTTAACTTTCCCATATTCATTATTTAGTCTAAAGAATATTTATATATCAGATCTATTTATTTTATTAATGAATACGCGTAAACCTAATAAAAAATACCTTTGGCCCTTTGTCGAGGTGCAAAATGTGTGAATGAGTCGACTATCAACCACAACAAAAAGAATGTAAGGCATAAACTATTAATGCTTGAATACAACTTGGAAATAATTCCATTTCATTTCTTACTTATACAACGTGGATAATAAACAAATTAGGTCCTATATATTGGTTACACACAATTGTGAGGCTTATAATTGACATTTTTTATATGATTGGTTCAAAAATTTCTTTAACCGAATTTTATTGGGTTATAATTTATGAATTTAATAAAATAAAGCAGTTCGTAATAAATTTTTTCGACAAAATAATAATTTCTAATAAAAATATTTTTTTTCATTGTATTTATTTTCTTGTTTTGGTATTTATTGCCTCATTAACGACAACCCCTCTACAGTAACCCCTGTACAATCACATCATATAAATCCTCCATTATAAGCATACCTTTATTAAAACCAGTTCCTTCTATATAGTCACTTTTTACTAAAGTCACACTTTTATTTTGGTACTAAGGGTTGTAATAGTAAAGAAATGTTTAAAAATTATAAGATAATATAAACATATTTTAAATATATGGGAGCTTTGCTAGGAAAACGGGGCTCTGAGACCTTTTTCTCAAAATTAAATTTTTTGATTTATATTAATCTATAACATATAAACTAAAATTTTATATTACATTATCTTATTTTTTTTATGAATTAATTCAAATTGAAATTTGTTACTTAATAAATCTAAAAATAGAATTTGGAAATGATAAACATGTTTGTTTTACTATTTAGGAAATGATCGACATACTTAATAATTTATATTAAATTAATATAAAAATTTTAAAATAAAATAACTTTTTATTTAATAATTAATAAAGAAG